AACCCGTATGAATCACCTATTAGATCCGCCTGTCATGTTCATGACAAATGACATAGAACTCAATAACCCCTAAAATCATGACTAGATAATTATTAACACCTTAGATTTAGGACTTCAAATTCCATGACAACTAAGCATGGCTGGAAAGCTTTAGCGGGGTGAAGACAATCTTCCATGCAAGTTCATGCTGACAAGTGATAAGTATGTCACTAGCTATTTCATTCAAGCATCCAACTTTTCAGTGGCATGCTTGATGCTAGAGAGAAAAACAACCCCTAAAATACTATAACTCTCTGCCATCCGTAGCTTGATCAATTCTTGTTGTGGAAGAAAAAGCAGGTCTGGGAGGTCACAATAAACTTCTTGGATGGATATCGGAGGATTCCAGATTTGTTGATAGTTGTCAAAGACGAACTTGGAGTAGAATAAGCAAGAAGGGAGACAGCGGATGATGCATAGTATAAGTTTAAACCAAAGGCAGAAAATTCATACTTTATTCATTGCCCCAACGAGTGTTTGAATAAATTTACAAGGATCATAAATATTAAAAATAACAAGAAAACAAATAACCAAGAAAATAAACCCAAAAAAAAAACGTTTTTTTCAAGGATTCTACATATCCATAAAAAAGGAATCCAAATAAACTATCTTATTTTTATAAGGATTGTACAAATTCATAAACAATAAAAAAATAATAAAACTCTTTAATCCAAAATCCTAGCTAACTGGAAACTAATTCTTATTTGGGAATCTCGTATGCCATTTTTCTTGCTAGGTTTTTTCAGCATGTCAGATTCCTCCTGGGTTATTACCCGATGTGCTGAAAATCAAGCCAGGTTTGGCTAGCATGTCATACTCAAGTGAGTTGCCAAAATTTAAATAATTTGTGGTGAAAATTATGCAAGTTGGAAAGATCTAAAACTATGGGTGTGTTTATTTCGATTGTGATTGTAGAAAATCTCAATTCAAAAACTGTTGTAGGAAATCTGTTGTTCAGAAGTTAATGTTTCAGAAACAGTTGATCTGCTTTGAAACACACAATTCTGAAAGTGTTGCATGTGAAATCAATCCAATGATAATTTTTAAAGTTATCTTCAAACACAATTCCATAACATTTAAGGCGAACATTAACCTAATCTTAAATTTATTGCCGAATTACTTTAGCTCATTTTCAATAATATATTTCTGTAAATTAATGATTTGTACATAATAATGCGAGAAACAAAAAAATAAGTTAAAAGAAGAGGAGATATAGAATTTGTATAATTAATGATTATCACTAGAGTCCTTTGTATTTATATATCAATGTAAAACTCTAATTTTTACATTGATGCCATCCAAATCTTTCATAAAAAAGAACAAATAACAAAATGACAATATGCCAAACTCATAAATGTGAATGCAAAACAATCCTTGTTGAGCAAAATCTGTAGTTAGGGAACTAATAACAACCGAATAAGCCATGCTTCTTCCACCATAGAGTCACACTTCAAATTTACATCAGCTGCTTTATAACGATTTGCATTAAAGAGAATTGTGTGGAGTATATGTAAGTTTACCTTCAGCATACTGCTTTATAATTTAACCACATGAAAAATGAAAGAATACCTTCCATAAATCTTCTGAAGGAGATAAATAAAACCAGTAACAAAAAATACTTTCAGAACAGTCAAATCATTCAGCCGCCATGCTTTTGGGGACATTGTTTTGGAAGCTTTCAATCAAAATAATATTTTTTTCCAAATCTCAACTGATTTTACACCAAGCAAATAACAACCACTTTGAGTTCGACAGGCATTTTGTATGCAGGGTCACATAAAACAAGCAAATAACAAATGGCTGCTGATAAAATTCCAAAACTGAACACAGGTTGCTCCAAATAGCAGGAAAACCTCAAAACAAAATAACGCAAATAGGAAGAAAACATTTGAGGTGGATTGAATGCCCATCACTCTTTTAAAGCAGGTCATTTCAAATAGCAAGCAAACAGTTCGGATAGCCTAAGAAATCAAATTTAAAGCAGGTAATTTCCACTTTAAGCCCAAATTTAAGACCACCACATCCTTCCAAACTTCGGATGGATTAATTTAATATCAATGAATCAATTGCCTGTGGTGCTTCAAGAAAATAACCGCTGAAATTGCCTTTAAATTTTCTCTTATGAAACTCTACTTTAAAATCTTCAATTTAAAATCCAACTAAAGTAGCACGAGGCATGAGTGCATCATAATTTCCTTCCCCAAGAGGTTGGCATGAAAATGTTTCACCATTTAATATAGTACCAGCAACTCTGCCATAAGTAGAATAATTCTTTTAAGCCATTGGAACATTAATGAGCGACAAACAATGAGAATCCCATCCTGCAGCAAAATGGCATCCATTTAATAACCACTAGCATTAAATGTACATTTTCCAAACTTTTCTTTTTTTTTTGTCGATTCAAAGCTACAGGTAGAGCACCCTGCTGTGCGGGTTCAAATATGACATCGAATTGCATATCCACGGATTAGTATCCATAAATCCTAGTGGTAATGGCAGGACTGGTTACCTAAGAATAACTTGGCCATCCAAAGATGCCGCATATCTCCATTGGAAGCATATGGATATCATCACATAATAAATTCTTTCAGTTGCAAAAATCATTCAAATAAACATTCATGGCAAAGTAACACATATAACCAACATACAATTATCTAGGTAGATAAATGAAAATAAATATCCAACTACAGCATAGTTAATAACTTGAGATAAGTTTGCAGCCCATATGAAAGAAGTTCCCAAAAGAAGAAGAAGAAAACATATGAAGGCTTAACTTGAAATAGCTTCCATTACCAAGACAAGAGCATACCTTTGCAACTTTAATATTTTCTATAGAGTTGAATAACATCAACTTCCATAGAGTTGAATAACAACATCTATGGAGATAGTCAAAACCAGTACATGATCATCCCATAAGGTATAAATAGATGTAAAAAACCTAAGCTAATGTGTATTCCAACTCTGATGTATAATTTATGTTCACATGACTCCAGCAATGTTAGCTTTAATAGATTGGGCTTTTGGTACATGGTGCATTTCTCAGTAAAATGTAGCAACTTTTACTAAAAAATTAAGTAAAAATCTAAAGAGTGTATAAAACAGTAACTCTTTCACATACTAATTTCCTAATCAGAAGAATCTCGAAATGAAGCAGCTACCAACAACTAACTAAAAAAGTTTTGCTGCAAAAATTATCAAATAAATCCCATAAAGTCATCTGTAAATGGCCCAACCTATTGTGCATCATCTTCTTATTTAAAAAAAACATAAGTTTGCACACATACCACACAGTTCTTATGTATTTACATATATAACACCCTTGGTTTGATATTCATAGTCACAGCACCTTCACGTGACTCAAATTTGAGTGGTATGCATGTGAATATAAATGTTTAGGTGTTAGATATGTAAATCACAGTTATAGGTGCTTCAGAAATGGATGGAAGTGTAAGATGTAAATCCTGCTACCGACAAAGCCTCATTTTTACAACATCTAAAATCAGAAAATACAGATCTTCCTAAAGATTATCTTCGCCAGCTGATTATTATCCCACATGCAACATAGAATTAAAAAAAGAAGAAGAAGAAGAAGAGAAGAATAGTGAGAAAGTGATGAATACTTCTCAAAACTTACAGGAAGAATAAAACATCAAATTCAAAGAAGCGGGGATCACAAGGGAGATGCCCACCGAGTGGCAAAAGCCTTCGAGAAGAGATTCGAGTGTTGGAAGGAAGAGAAATGGAAGATGGAAGTTCTCACCTAAAGGGCAACTGGAATCAGTTGGCGATGATGTCGCTTCGGGAAGGAATCGGCTGTGCTAGGCTGGAGACTTCACGAATGCTGTGAACCGCACACCCATCCACGTGTTTGAGTTGTTATTATCAGCAGAACGGCGTTCACAAACCCGAAGGCTCGAACCGGCGAAACAAACAATGTGCAAACGCGGTTTTGAGCCGGCAGTGTTTCAAAAAGCATAAACAAACAGGCCCTTAGATTAGGTTTGTTGCATGGAATTTGGAGAACTTTAACAAAAAAAATAATAAAAGACTGTAGATGGAGGATGATGTCACCAATGAAACACGATACTCTAAGAACCCAATGTTATCTCATCAGTTGAAATTTACTCTTGATAAAACTGGAACTATTAGTAGAACAATTGAATTGTTAGAGAAAAAAACTCCAGATATAGAGAACTATAGAAAAGTTTGGAGCATGAGCGTTCACTATACTATAATAAGCCCTCAACATTGAAGGTTGGGTTGATGCTAATGTTAGAGAAGCAAAGTTGGAAGACAAAAGTGTAAATCGGGCTGAGCTATTAAACTTGATCATTTAAAAGAAGGGAAGACAGGACATTTAGATCAGAATACCTCTGTATGATCATCCCATAGAAGAGAAGATCAGACCGTCATTGTTAATGAAAGGGGCAATCATGACTTAGGGTCTGTTTGGAAGCTATTCATATTCCCATAGAAGAGAAGATCAGACCATCATTGTGAGAAGGACTCTCGTGAGGAACTCAAGTAGAAGGACGAACATTAACAGGAGGTCACTTAGAGGTCCTTTGAAACACATCATTCTCAAAATTTTAAAACCAGATTCCAATTTCAATTAGTTTTAGCAAATGAAAGTGTTGCGTAAAAGAGGCATTTTTGTTCGACGCCATCACTGAATATTCCAACTAAATTATTATTTATGTTTTAACTCCATAATAACAAATTAGTCAACCACATAAACAAGCAAAGATAAAAAGAATTCCTTGTATCCAGTTCTTCATCCAACTAAAACTAATGACCATTTGCTGCCAAATTAATAAGCTTCTGATAAATATGTCATAGCAAATGATTACAGAGGCATTGAAATAAAACACAAGTTCCAGAGCTCACAGTATATAATAATTGGGCAATATGTGAATATGAAACAGAGAGGCAAAAGCAAAGAGGACTGGTCAAAAGCGTACGTGAAGTAGAACATGGCAGAATCAGAATGGGGTGTAGCTTGCCAAAGAAATATGAACAATGAAGGCAAAAATATCTCTGGTTGCCTGACAGAATTCCATAACTGACTAATGCTTTGTTTGCAACTTTCCAATAAACTTAAGCCAGATGTTGACATATTATAACCTCTCACAGATGCCATTGCTTGCTCTTTAACCAAAATTGCAACAACTGAAGTCATCAGAGGAAGAATGGCTGTAACACCAAAAACAAACCTGCAATTGATGTATTTTTAGGTTTAGTTGATAATGGTTGAATCCATCTAAAAGCAAAACATGTCAACCTCAATCTGCATGCTCACCTGACACCATAAGCATCAATCAAAGAACCACTGAAGTATGAGCTCACAATCCCTCCAAAAGCAGAAGATCCCCAGCATAAAGATTGAAGCGATCCAGATGTGCTCTGTGACTCACCACGAGCTCTTTCAACAACCATGGAATCTACAACCTGCATTGTGAATGTAACCATAATGAAGCAAAATAACTAAATATACAATCATATCCAAACAAGGAAACTTTAGATATTTGACTGGACCATAAAACTTGATGAAATGCAGGCAGTAAATCATAATTGTATGTTTACACACTTAATCATCCAAAATTCAAAAAGTATCCTTCATAACTGGATAATCAAATCAAATTCAGTTCAAAAAGAAACCTAGTGGCCAAGAAAACACCAGTGAACAAGGTAACCATCACACTTTTAGTTAAAAAAAATTGGTCCAACGGCTAATTTTGATAACAGGGATTACCAAGATCAATAAAGCTGACCGGAGAAGTATCATTCATCACAGGAACAAAATAAGAAACTATTATTTAATTCTCATAATTAAAACAGGCATGAAGGAGAGCAATTTGGGAGCACAAACATGTCAATTCCAGTTCTACTTCAATGTATTGAAAGATACTTACAACATCTGAAAAAGCAACTGAAAAAGATCCAAGAAGAATGCATGCTGCAGCACCGTACTTGCTGTCAACAAAGGTGGCCATCAAGCTCCATGAAAATGCTCCAAGAAGCCCAGATAGAATAAGGTAAGACCTTCTATGATAGCCAAAAAGTGGGAAGGAGTCGCTGCCATAATGAGTATGTTAGGGATTAACATGCAAATTTTAATCTGATAACACAGAAATGGTCACCTAGAAGAGAGAGCTAAACCTGATAAATCCATAAAGTGGCTTGACCAACCAAGGCAATGAAGCAAAACCAGATATAACAGCTGTCTGAGAAACCAAAACATATGCTGTATCAAATACTAATATCTAACAGTACATGATAGAAGAAGCAAGCATTTGATATCTGCTGAACAGTTGCGTTACATTTGCTTCAAGCCAATCAAGAAGATCTAGAAGAAAAAGTGGCATAATTATTAACAGAAAACAAAAAAAGGAAATATAAAGTTCAACACTTGAGAAAACAGATATGTTCCTTCCACAAGAATTGAAGATTTAAGTGAGATATGGGTTTGAGCGATTCAATAAGCTTGCACCGAAGTACAAAATGAATGGAGCATTGGATCGAGCCATTGAAGGAGCATGAATAATTTAAAAAAAGGATGATAACCAATATAAAATGAAGTTGGAGCTGCCAATTAATAAATGTGGCAACTAACAGGTGAAATCGCATCATCAATCTAATACAGAGCCTCCCAAGGTTCCTATACCAAGGTAGTTCCCTGTTTATGGTGGCAGCGCTGCCCACAGTTCCTACAAATAAGGCTAGACTGGATCTTTTAGGTTTGGCTGGCAGAAAGAACTATACCAATTCCATGTCTCTTATGGCTTCTTTGGGACCGCAACTAGTTTCAAGTGCATTGCGGTTGCAATTATTCGGTGGCTCCAGTGGTTTTTTGAATGAGGTGACAACTTCTTGAGAGGTCAAATTACATTTTACTTGGCTATCATAAATAAAAATCTGCAGTGAATTTTTTTTTGCTAAAGACATATTTCGGGGATTCTATTCATTAATCAAATGTAAGACCGAAATTCTATAAAAGTCTAGTTCCTTCTACAAATTTTAATATTTTCTTGTATTTGAAAAATTAATAGTTAACTATTTCGCAAGAGGCTAATTTATTATTAGTAATTATATAATTAAAAACTTATGAAAGAAAGTAGACATGAATTATGCTACAATTCTCCAAAGCTTAATATAGCGCTTAGAATTTCAAAAATCTTACAATTATCCTCCAGTTGAAACTACTACGCCCATACTTTTGTTCTTTTGTTGCATGCAACAAACAATCTACAGCCAAACGAGCTTTAGAATATGTAGTTTAAATTATCCTTAATAATCATTTTTACCTTCCCCTCGGGGTGTATGGTAGTTTGATTGGAGGGTAATTTATTATTTTTTATGAAATGTACAGTAGATGGGAGACATTTTTCAACTATGCATGTTGGGAAGAAAATGCCCTTTTATTGTGAGCGTTTTGGTCCTTCAATTGATAAATTGCGTACATGGAAGCGTTGGATTTGACCTCTTTCCCCCTGTTATGTCCTCCCCTTTTTTTCCTTTAATTATTTTTCAATATTAGCTGAAAGTGAAATTGAATTTTATCAAACGCACTACAATTTGATTGTAATTTTTTTGTATGAAACTTGAATCACGTGGATGACTTTGATGATCCCAACCAATTATTTTTATTAATTTTTAGTAAAAACCAAAAACATCTACATCTGAACTGTATTTTACCATTTTCAATTTTAATTGCATATAGCAAATAATTCTTTTAAGATTTCATGCTTTATTTCCGGGCATTCCTACAAAAACTGTATGTTTATTGCATTACCTTGCTTGCATCTAATTCTACAATGAAAAACCTTGGCATAAAACATCTTACGTCAACACCAAATAAAATTGCTACATTTTGAATGATACTAACAATGGAAGGAATGAAGTCAGTGCCAAATCAGGTTTCTAAGTGGCACCATTTAGCATGATATGTTTCAAGGGGCGTTAATGGAAAAAAATAAAGGGATTTTTAAAAAGATAGCACTAAAAAGTTTCCTACTTACATATTTCACACCTAAATCTTTATATTTACAAAAATTGAACTTTGTCCGCTTCTGGTTAACTTAAAAATTTTTGCACCGGCGAAACTGCTGGAGTTCTGAAATAAGGTGCAGAAACTGGATCGCAGCAGAAATTTCGGCGAAGCCACTAGAGTTCCGAAACAAGATGGGAAGCAAAAACGTGATCGTGTCAAACAAAACCTCAGAAACTCCAATCTTTCTCCTCCTTCGCCTACAAAGAGTTGCAGCTTTCTAGATTCCCATAAGGTAAAATGGAGTAAAGACTATTTAACTCTGGCCCCCATAACTCGGAACAGATGAAACAAGTGATTTAAGAACATGCATGATTTGGAGATGCATTTTTTGCTGATTGGCAAAGAAGTGCTCGGAGTTAAGGAGGAAGGATATGCCCGAGAAAACATTACAGAATAGTATTGAAGTTCACCGGAGTTCAGATGAGGTTAACGGAGAGAAAGACAGAGTGCACATTTTGTATTTTTTAAGCATATTTAATGCTTTAAATATAAGTATAAAAATTTAAGTGTGAAATATATAAATATGAATGTTTTGAGCGTTATGTACGTAAAAACCTCAAAAATAAATAAGGGTTAGAAAGGAAGGACCTGGATAATATCCTTAAGACAGGTTCAAATATCAATAAAATCATTTCAATTGATAAAATAAAACTTTAGAGCCAATACTAATAATTTTTAGTATTTTGCCATCAGCATCTAAAGATTACGTATTGCCAAGCAAAGTCTGCACCAAACAAGTTCTCCTGAAAAAGGTTACCTAGCAATCCAAAAAGCAAGACTACGAGGAAAATGGAAAGAATCAAATTAGGTAGAGAGAAATGAGAGAAAAAGTAAAATAGTTGTAAAGAGCTTAATAAAGAAGATGACATACTTCTGCAGGATCAAGATGGAGATCATCTTTCAAGTAAAAGCTTACAGCAAGCCTAGCAAGACCAAGTACTCCTTGCACAAAATATACAACTGCAACAGCGATATTATCTGGTGACAAGTCCACCCCAAAACAATTTATGGCACTCAGCCTAGAACTGCTCTTCTTTAAAAGATTTATACTGGAGTATTTCTCCTGAAAATTTTCTCCAGGTGCTTCCTTGACTGAGAGAGCATTCAAGGATGCCGAGCTACCTGTAGAAGTTATATCAATTAAAATCTAAGGTAGATTTAAGTAATGCAAATCATAGCATTTTGAGGAAAGAAAGTCAAAAAATAGATAGTATCTTATGACACGTGCGTCTCTAGCTACTGAACCGGACGTGGCATCTGGATTGCGCGAGCGCTACAAAGCCGAACCGAACAACGCTCCTTGTGATTTCTTTCCAATTTTCAGCATGTTTCCTTGTATCCATCCCACCTTTCTAGTTTTTTTGTGTTGTATTAGAGTTTGGATTGACAGTTCTAGTTGCACCAGCCACATCCCTCCCTTTCATACTCGCTGCCACTCCTAGAAAATCGCTCCAACTGCTGTTATACCTCGTCCCACGCCCCAGAACAGCCGCCCATCATTGTTCCTGTCTTCCCAGCACTCCTCCCCTTTCTCCTAGCTGCCTCCAATCCCAAAAGGCCCACTCCTTTGCTGAGACTGCTCCAGACAGACCTCCTGCATAGATTCATGCTGCTTGCTTGCTGTCCGGAAGCTGGGAAACAGCTGCCTTGCTGTTCCTGCTTGCATACCACCCCTGTCCACCACCTTTCAGACCCTCACCTACCATCTCCACCACCCTTTTGATCCAGCCCTAGCAGGAGTTAGTGTCGTGTTTGTTGCAATTTTAGATTTATGTTTTGTGTGATTGTAATTATCTATTTGATGTTAGTAATAAAAAAAAAATTTCCGTTGTTGCTGGTTAATACCGGTATCATTTGGTATCAGAACTAACCTAAATCTAGTCATATCCTATGATTATCAAAGTACCCCACTGCCTAGCCCAATCTCCTCCAAAAAACCCTTCCCCTTGCTAATTTTCCAAACCGGCCAATAAAAAATTTTATTTCCCACCCTACATCACTCCCATACACCATCAACCATCTAACCAAAAATGAAAAGCCACTAGCCCGAAAATTTGGCATGAAATATCAGAGAAGTTAGGATCTTTAAGTAAAGGTAAATTTGTCATATTTCGACACCCACTTGGATCTAGATGAGTTCATCAAGTCGCTCCAGACCATAGAACATGGATTCAAATACCAGGACATCCCACCAAACAGAATGATAAAATTAGCAACCAGCAAATTAAAGAAGAGTGCATCTCTATGATCAAAGAATATGAAAATTCTTCAACGGCAAGAATGAAATATTAGAATCACTAACTGATCTAAGATAAAATGAGAGATGCAACGCCAGTACCTACCAGTTCATTATAGACACAATGTTCAGACCCTAGCTTCAAAAGTGAATAGTACACCCAGAGTGCTCTTACAGATGGAGTTCAACCCTAGGATCAAGCAGCCAGAGTATAACCAGTGAAACATCCAAGCCGATGTTGACCTCATTTTTTTAGTGAGGTCTAGTCTTCCTCTTAGGGTTTAGGATCTAACCTTAGGGATCTCCCATTGACTATCTTAGAACCTTAGAAATGGGACCCACATTGTTCTAGAAATTCAACCCACTTCTGTCCCCTTCTGGAGTTTCGCGTGTGTCGTATCAACTTCTAGCACTTAGAAGGATGAAACCAACATGAGGAAACCCAAAAAGGATTCCCATAGGACCTTTTGAGTCTTAGGGTGGCCTTTTACACAATTCGTACTCCCGCGCATAAAACTTTGTAATTCGGAGAGTCGACACGTCCGATCGCCACGATTCGCTTCGTTTGCACTGTTACTTGTCGAATGCTCGAGTTAACCTTTTGAAGCGATCGATCGCGGGTCGAAATTTTGTAAAATTTGAATCTTAACGTGTTTTTGACCCGATTGTCGACGACGTCGTCCGAGCGACCCCAGATGACAAAACGGACTACATCGGCACGTCCGGAGCGTCAATTTTTCCTAGGGAGGACACCCATTTTGTTACGTCGCCGCGCGCAAGTAAATCGAATATAATTTAATATATATATATATATATATATATATTAATTTATATTAAAACTATTTTACCCCTTTCCTCTTTAAGCCCGAGAGCCGAGCGAGCTCCTCCTCCACGTGAAAGAAAGTTGACTTCGCTTGCGTCCTTGCCCGACACTCTCTGCCCGCGGCCTTCTTTCCCGAAGCCGTGTCAGTCTCCTTGAGCCGTGGATTTTCTTTTCTTATTAGTTTGACTCTGGGAAGCTTGTTCCCTGGTACACTGGAATGGCATTCCTTCTCTTCTTCTCGATACTTCTTTCGCTGCCATTACTCTCGCCGCTTGGTTCGAGAGACTTCGGTGGCTTCGCCTTCTGTGAGCAGGGACCGTCCCTTTTCTCTTCTTGGCCCGATTCGAGTGTCGTGGACCATTGGGTGTGATCTCTTTTCTCTTCTCCCCTCTTCTCTGCATATAAGGATAGCTTCCTTTGATTTTGAGGTTGTTGAAAAAGTTTGCAAAAAAAAAAAAGAGGAGAGGAATAAATATTTTCGGCTGTGAGGAGATTGGAGAGGGAATTTCTGTGAGAGCACTTCTTTGGGGTGAACTCTTGTGTTGCAGTGCTTTACATTGGCATTAAGGAGGTACCTCTTCTTACCCCTTTTTCTTTGGGGTCCTGTTTCCTTTCGGTTTTCCTCTCTGCCGAGCCTTTGAACTTGGTTCGTTTGGATGATACATCATACTGGTTCACTTTGCTTTTATACATTTTTGAGGTATTCACTTTAAGAGCATGTGAAAGATGAAATGTGAGCATGTTTTAGGATTTAGATTTGAATATTTGCTTAAAACGGTGGAGATATGACAT